AGATATCTTTATCTAGACATGGGAGAAGAAATAATGGAATTGGTACCAACAGCAGCATGGATGGCAAATTCTACAACCAGAGAAACTCTAAAACTCCTAAAGGAAGAGCTCAGTTTCTCTGGTTGTAGAGAAATGTACCAAAACTACATTTAGTACACAGAACTGTTATATGCATCTAGAACCCTGTTAAATTGAAAATGTGTAAACAGTCAAATACATTTCTAGTGTAGTCTAACTACACTAGAAAATCTGAAAAGCTCTTAACACTGCACCTAAGACTGTACCTACTAACGTATTCAATAAATGGTATTTTCTATAATTACTCAAAGCTGCCCATTAGCATGGAACACAGGAATTAGACTTTGATTTAATGATCCCCTCTGGCTAAAATCATTTGGTGCTTTAAGTTTTTATATGCAGTAGATCTTTTATAGATTGCTTCATTCTATTAAATGTGAAATATGACTACAATTCTGAAATCCATGAAAAGACCGAGGAAATGGTGTGACAAAAAGGAGACTTTCAGGAAAAGCCGGGTCTGAAATGGGCATCTTGATTCCCAATCCAACCTCCTGAGGAAATTCTAGTAGACTCTCAGATTGCACATGGAAGCGGGCTGTAGGCACAAGGTGAGAACAATGAGAGCGTGGAAGAGCCACCTACTCAGTTATGTTCCTCATTTGCTAACAAAAAAGCTGCCACCTGTGACTCACTGATGGGTTGTCTTTGTTGTAGTGTTACCTGCTGTGCCTCATCAGAGGACAGAAATGAGTATGGAAGATGGGATGTAGCTCAGCAGTAAAGTGCTCACCTAGCACATGCATGGCCCTGGGTTCAATCCCCAGCGCTGGGGGAGGGGGTGGGAAGCAAGGAAGAGGAAGCAAGAGATGTTTTCTCTTCTTTAAGAGCTGAAAATACTATGTGACTCAGGCTACAGAGCCTATTTGAAGTCACCCAGAAATGAGCAGCTTTGACCCCTAGGCCAGTACTATTCACAGCTTCATGAACTGCCTCAATCTCAAAGCATTTGTTAGAAACCCAGGGAACTGGTGCTGGGCATGGCACCCAGGTAGCCCAGAAGACACCAATACCTCCTGAGGACAGAGATCCTATGCTAAGACAGCTTCCACTACTCAAGCTAGCTTTCCTTCCCTTTGTCCTCTCTTGTGCATTCTTCTTCTGTCTGTGTCTAAGGTATACAAAACCCAAAAATGGTTCCAGTCTGGATTCTCTCACAGCCCATCTCTCCCCCTCCACTAAAGCTTAAGCCTGACTTCTGTACGAAAAACAGCAGGGCCCAGCACGTCCTGGTACAGACAGGGCAGCTGCCTCTTCCCTGCTCCATCTTCAGTCATTTCCACTGCCAGAGTACCTACTGCTCCAAGGTGGCACTCTCTACAGTTGTGACCTTCTACTGCCAAGTTCAAAGTAGTTTATTCTTCGTAAAAATGTGTTCATAATTCTTCTAACATATTTTAATTACATAAACGTTTCTGAAATAGTCTCAGTAGAATTGTATTCTCTTCATATTATTAACAATCTAGACTTTTTAAAGCCAAATAGACATTATAGCATTGTTGCTTACAAAAAGGAAAGGTTATAAAGCCATTTCAATGAACAAACATTTATGTCTTGCCCATCCTGTCACTCCAAGAATACAAATGTTTAAGTCTTAACTTTAATGAAGTCACAGCAAAGATATGTGGAGCTCAAAAGCTGCAGGGGAACGTGGAGGAGGGGCCGGTTTGCTATTACCTACACATCAGCGGTGATGGAAAACTCTAAAGAGATCTGAATTCATTCTTTTCTGCTAAAACGAGGACACTACTGATAATTAGCCCCTTTAATCCACAGGAGGTGGGGATGTGTAACACAATGCTGTGGCTTGACTGACATTTTTAATAGGAAAATTACTCTAGCTTTTCTTCAGCGACACGGACTGCTAAGATTTATAGTTGATGTTTCTATCACATTTCAGTATTTAAGGACCACATGGAATTAGCATTGTTTAACTGCCAGCTGTATTTTTAATTAGACTTGTAATATGCTTAAGACCACATGGAATTAGCATTGTTTAACTGCCAGCTGTATTTTTAATTAGACTTGTAATATGCTTAATGGATGAAAACACTCTCGGATTAGACACTTTTCCATAGTAGCTATATGTATGCTGTATCTGAATAAAATGCTTCACAAATATTCAAAAACAATCTCAAGTTTTCTCTATACTTTCAGGTTTTACCACTGTTTAAGATAATCACTCATATTCTAAACTAATAAGTCACATGACACATAAATGGTATAAAACCCTTTTATAAGCTAATTTATATATCAAGTCTTACTAAAAACTTAAGAAGTGCTAGGTCTTGAGGGGACACAGAGATCAACAAGACCTGCTCAATATTAAAGAACTAAGCTCGCTGCATTCTACATCCACCGCCCTTCCTTCAGTAATCCTTCACTTTTCACGTCCTCCAAGTCTCCTCTTGTTTAAGGGAAAGAGTTCATTAAGATGCTATTATCTGGCTATTCAGGAGGCAAAGGAGAGGACTGCTGCAAGGCTAGCTAAGGCAAAAAGTTAGCAAGACATCATCTCAACCAGTAAGCCAAGAGTGGTGGTGCACACCTGTGGTCCCAGCTATGTGGGTGGCTGTAGCTAGATGGGTCACAGTCTAGGCTAGCTTAGGCAAAAGCACAAGACACTATCTATAAAAAAAAAAAACCTAAAAAGCAAAAGAGGATGTAGGCATGGCTCAGATAGCAGAGCATTTGCCTAATAAGTACAAGTCCCTGAGTTCTAACTCGAGTAAACCAAAAGAAAAAAGATGCTGTTATCAATTTCTTTGGGAGTCCTCTTGTACCCTCCTCATAGACTTGCTCTTCTCTGGGTAAGGTGGCCCAGAATGAGGAGAACTTGACACAGCTTTCCCTGATGCTTCTTCCTTTCTCAAGAGGGCTGAAAAGATCTACACTGGTAGTTCTACACTGGTAGGATGATGTGTACTTATCATCATTCCACACAGAACTGGCAACTCTCTAACTGCTAAAAGCTGCAGGGTGGCTAGTAGTGAAATTCATCTGCACTGACCCTGTAATATACAGTAGCCTCAGTTATTTCTCCCCATGCAAAACATTCAAGACATTTTTATTAGTATGTCCTCTGAAAAGCTGGACCTTGGCAAAAACAAAACCAAACCAAAAAAACAAACCAGGTTCCTAAGAATTGATGGTTATTCCCTCCCCAACATTCTTCTCCATTCACTCCAATTTTCTATCTACTCTGAAGGACAGATTCCAACCAAGAACTCCCAATTGGTCAGAGGCTGTTGGGTGGCTGGGGAGGCCTTAACCAGCTAGAACACTCTTAGGTGCCAGAAGAGGTCTGATTGCTCAGAAACGGCCCAACAAGCAGTGCAGATAAGGAGGCGGCCTTCTGAGAGGAGAGGACAAGATTCCAGACCCGGTGCTGGCTCGGGGCTTCCCTTTAGGCCTAGGAATCACTTCTTGTACAAAATGGAGATGTCAGGGTGTTCAACTCAGTGCCATACCATGTGTCCACCGATCAGACTGAGCCTTTGTTCGTCCGTAGTGCCCAGTAATGCACCTCCCAAAGCAACACTATTGATAAAAACCTTCCCGGAAAACAAAGGCACATGTTTGTAACCCCAGCATTCAGGAGGCAGAGGCAGGAGAATTATGAGTTTGAGAACAACCAAGAGCAGTGGTAGAGGGCTTGTCTAGCATGCACAAGGACCTGGGTTCCATCCCCGCCATCGTGGAAGGACAAAAAAAAATGTATCTGTCAACAGAGACAGGGCCTAAAATTACAATTCTCAGTCACAGAATTCTGTAAGTAAGCAGGCTTCACTCCTAAGAACACAGAGACAGAGCAGACAGAATCAGCATAAATGAAAAGCATGCTTACAGATGCTCTGAGAGACCATTCACTATCCTTGTTCTTAGAGAACGTGTTCTTAGAGAGCTGAAGATATGGAAATCTTATCTAAACCTGCACAGAGCTGAAAAGAGTTTAAAACTGTCAACAGAGTTTGAGAGTGTTAACACGCCAACAGCGGATTAATCGTACTTTCTTAAAACTGAAATATTTGTATTTCTAACAATCAATTGCCAGTTAACATCAAGTTCACTGTACCCTCTTCCAACAAACACTAAAGGTAGAAAACAACAAGACCTATCTATCTATCTATCTATCTATCTATCTATCTATCTATCTATCTATAGAGGGTTTTTTGTTTTTCAGTACTAAGGTTTGAACTCAGGGACTCCCACTTTGAACCACACCCTCAGCCCATTTGCATTAGTTATTTTCAGATAGGGCCTAACATTATGATCTTGCTACCACATAGCTGGGATTACAGACATGGATCACCAAACCTGGCTTATTCTTTGAGACAGGGTCTCACTAACATTTTTGCTCAAGCTGGCGCCTCAACCCTCAATCCTCCTATCTCCACCCCCCACCAAGTAACTGGGATTACAGGTGTAAGCCACTGTACCCAGCTCTTTTTCTTAGATCAGATTTTTTAAACCCTCCATTTGTATCACTGTGGCTGAATTTGCCCAACAGCAGCTTTTTGTTTAGGTCCTGTGTGCCAGTAAACTGTATTCCCTGTCTGTGAGCCAGTGCAAGTGGGAGGACGTGAGTACCATTGGCAAAACAGGGCGAGCGAAGGGTAAGCACGCTGCTTTTCCTCTGGGCAGGCAGTCCTCCCACTTGGTCCTCCCTGTGTGCTTATACAATCACATCAGTGCTTAGCACTTACAAAGTTGAGATTTTTGTTTTTAATTGTAAAAGCAAAATTAAATCACACAAGTAAACAAGTTTTAAAACAGTCTCCGTAGTAATCAGAAGAAACAGTCTGCATGCATTAGCTCCCTATCTCATTGCTCATAATGTCCAAAGAGGTGGCCTTATTTCTGAGTCCACTTTAACAATAAATGACATTATTATAATAAGGGTCTGACACTGTGATCCTGGTCTGGCTCTCAGCAGGGGATGGGAACAATGACAGGAGCAACACATGGCTCATTCGGTGCTCCTGTGATGCAGGTGAATAGAAAAATCCTTGGACAGAAGCAACTGGCCCTGAGCTATCCACATTCACAAGGAACTGGGTGACACTTTCAGCTAATGAAACACCAAGAGCACCCAGCATTCAGCCAAATCAAAATTGCACTGACTGATGTGGAAGTGGAAGAGTGAGGTACTGGAGTTAGTGGAATTGTTTCATCACTCGACAGCCCAGCAGGAAGTCATTTTGTCACTGTATCTGAGCTCACTGCACTGGGAAATCCCACTTGCTCACAGGACTCAGCAGGAGTCCAAGTCCTTTCTGCTGAATCAGTCTTACCTGCAAGCAGGTGAACAGAGGTGAAGCTCTTCTCCAGTTTGCCCAGAAGCACAGTGAGAAAGCAGTCTGATGACAGAGAGGTGACATCCTGGGAGCTTTGATCGTAAACTACCACCTTCTGATTGCAGTCAATGTCAACCTGAAGTGCAAACAGAAGGCGCGGTAGCAAGGCAGGCAAGAAAATCATCCCGGAAACCACTAGATGAGTAGGAGCTTATATTCACCCGTGCTGAAACGAATGACTACTTCCTGTTCCCACTTACAACTTGAATAAAAGTGAGACCCAGTTAACAGATGGGATAAAGTGGTTTAAGTGCTTTTGCAAAAGTCAACCTTTGAAAGGCAAAAGTTGTATTATTTCTGTGTAGAGGAGCTCAAAACTCCTTGGTTTTAAACCCTTGACACTAAGAAGGGGTGAAGTCCATAAACCAAGTAATATGAAAGTAAACATAATAACCCTTGATCTACAGAAACATTTCAAAAATTGGTTCTTACACGACCACAAACAAATCAGCTATTCATTACAATTAAAAGATGAGCTCACTTTTATTCCTGAAAGAAAAGAAATAGCCTTCCCGACTACACAGATAGCACCTCAGTACCCCAGGGACAATTTTACCTTAAGCATAACATCCTTTAGTCCTGGTCAATATTACTACATAAAAATGTTACCAGATATAACAAGCACCTCTAACAATTACTGGTCCCTACTTTTCTTCCAAAGCACTTGAGAAGAATGACTTTCCTGTCAGGAGATTTATAGATAACAAAAAATGATGTGTAAATTGAGAAAACAATTTCACCAGACATTAACAGGAAAACATTGCATGTATCCAATTTAGAGCAAGTTCATTCTTCTGAATAGTTTAAGATATTCTTAATGTGACAACATAATGAGTAGATTGTTTCCAGGTACTACAAGGTACCAAAATCTAAAAAGCAACCAAAACTGCCTCCAATTACTTTCTGCACTCAAAAATGAAGTTTCAATTACAATTATTCCTCGGTGTGTTCGCTTATTTTAAAAAGGCAAAAAAGAAAGCACTCACCTTCTGTTTCGCAGAATGCTGGATAAGCTCTGTAATTAGCACTTTGTCCTGCTGCAACCTTCGCTTCATAAGCTTGGAGCAGTTGATATTAATGGCTTCCAAAATGTGGGATGTGTTGTACTCCACAAAAGGCCGGCTATCAATTAGCAGCACTTTCTCCGCTCCACTTTCCAGCAGAGCCACCAAGCTCTCAGTAACAATTTGAGTCCCAATCATCTCATGAGCCATGACAACAATCAGTGCTCTTTTCCACCTCCTCCTTCAGTTTGCCACGATGACGTAATGGTGGTGCTCTCAATGGCTCAGCCACCCCATTGTACTGGAAATGGATGAGGTCAGGCTAGTGGTGGCTGGAAGAGGAGTTAAACCCATTTCAGCAAGGGCCCTTGGACGGGGTGTCTCTTTCTCTTCCCACGGATGTGCTCCTGCAGAGGACGCCCTCCACAAAGCAGCCGTCACATTTGGTTCACAAAGATGACTGGAACAACCACTCAACAAAAGATGCTTTGGGGCCGCCAGTACCTTACATCATTCTTTACTTTTGCTCCCTCGCCCCAACAGCGTCACGCTGGACTGACAGCCTACATGAAAGGAGAAAGACGGACAGAAAACAACACGTGCAGTCAGCAAAAGAAGAAAGAGCGTGAGACTGGAGAACGAATGAGTCATAATATTTACCCCTTCATCTCATTCCATACTTGAGGCACCATTCCATTTCAACACCAACCAAAAACCAAGTAGACATGGCTTCATAAAAAATGTGCTTGTGTCATTCCACTTTCCCTCAAAAGTAAAACCTTCGAGAAAACATGACATATTCATGAATTACAATCACCTGGGTCCCAGAACAAAATGACTTGTATGAAATTCAAAAGCAGCTTGAAGTATTATTACTGTAAATGATTTTCTTCCATTTTATTTACTTATTCCTTGAAAGTAGTGCAGAGAGCAACAGCCAAGGACCAGGTTAGCAATCCCATGTTATGAGAACAAAAAGATGTATTTTTAATGTCTTGAGAATTATGTGATGAATGAGTGTGTGCGCACACACACCTATGACACAAACACCAGCTCCTGGAAAAGGGGCGGGAAAACATTTCAGTTACCTTTTAAGGAAGAGGGGTTCAAAAATGACTGCTGTGTTAGCCACAGCAACTGCAAAGGGCCTGTGATGTACCAAGCTCCACCAGAAGCAGTCTCACAGCTCTGACCCTGGCTCGTCTGCCATGACCATTCCTCTACTCTAAGTCCTTGACCTGCTATTCATTCATCCTTCCCTTTCTTGTGCCACATTCTCAAGACAATCACTGACTCCCAGCCTTAGAAAATCTCACTCTTAACACGGGAACTTTAAGTCAGTCCCCCAACACATGCAGCCCTTAAACCTGGACCTGATGCCTCTGTGATTGACTCTAACTGGAGTCTGGTGTCCATAATTTGGACCTGATCCTAACCTTCAATATTCTCCAAATCCTATCTCTCCTGGTCCATCTTAAATGAAAGCTACATCTAAAACAGGATGCCTACTGTTGGCATTCAAGTTCTTGAGGATAAACTCTTTGATAGCTAAAGTTTTGTATTAAATTTTTTACTTCCACTGTGTTTGCTTACTTATTACAAGTAACACCCTCCTTGTTCCAAAAACAATTTACAGTTGTAAATAAGTATTTCATTAACTGATTCCAGATCAAGATGGTAGAACTTTCAAGCATCTTTGGGTCGTAGTCCCTGATTTCATGCCTGCAGAACTGCAACCGAAGCATGAGAAGAGGGGCATGGGAAGTGGTCTTTCCATTTACTAGTTGTATACCTGGGCAAATCATGTAACCTCGCTAAACCAGTTTCCTCACCTGCTGATACTAGAGTGGCCTTGTCTCCTCTGCAAGTGAAAAAGTACTTATGGATCACTTACAGAAAGAAGGGGAAATGCTCTAAATATGCACTGGTGATGCCAAGCATGACAGCAGTCACTGTAATCCCAGCACTTGGAACGCAGGAGGCCAGCCTGAGCCTCCAAAATAAAGAGGCATCAGTGAGCAAAGCTGGCTTGCATGTGGAGTCTAAAAGACATCTCTCAGCAGTAATTGCACCCTCCTACAGTCCAACCTCTACTTTCTAACAGCCTGACACAGGGAGCCAGAAGGCACCTGAGAAATCTTATCTACCTACTTTACAAAGCAGCTGCATTTGGTACTTCATGTGTCCACCTGCTTGTCTTCCATGGAACAAGCTTCACTATACTAATGTACTTACATCTAGTATAGCTTTATGTCAGCGAGGAACACAGGTCATCACTGAAGAAACTGAAGAAACAACAGAAAATTTGGCTAGTCAAAGACTAAACTTTTACAAAGCACCCACCAAGGCTATAGCACTGAATCAAATCCTACAGCCCTGTGACACAGTTCACAGTAACACAAAGTCCTGCACTCACACTGTCTGACTCTACTACTGGGTTACCCAATTTTTCCTAAGCACCTGTTCCCATAATGGAACAGGACCGGGGAAGAATGACGCAACTTGTCCACGAAGGTACTGCAGTGGCACAGAAAGTGGAAATCTGAGGACAGGAGCAAGTTGATCCCAACAATGGCACAGAGTCTCTGAATCCGATTGGCTCCTCTCAATGATAAAATCCGGATGGGACAAAGCAGTGATCTGGGTTAGCAGATCAAGGAACAAAAGACGGGAGACAACAGCAAACGTGCAAAAGTTGAATTAGAACATTCTCGCGTTTGCTTCCCTCTAACAGATAGTTCTATGGGGCAGAAAATGGTCATTCTTCCCCAGAGGACCAGAGTCAGCAGCCAAAGATACAAAATGACCCTTTCCCTGTCTAAGACTGGGACTGGTCAAAGTGACTGTAATATGAAGATATAACTGAAGCAAAGGGCTGAAAGTGAGGTAAGGATCAAGTTACATGCATTCCATGTTGTACTGAGGCCAGCCGGAGCCCTCCTGTCACACTGTATGCCCAAGATCTGACTTTATGTAGTGCTAAATGGATCACGTGAGAGGAAGAGTCCTATCAAGGGGTTGAGAAGGGTGAGGTAACAATGGCCTTAACCCTGCTCATTACAGGGAAAGAATTTTACATGAATCATCACCCTCTGTCTGTTTCAACTCTAATTTTAAATTTTTTCTGCATTCACTGTTCATTTTGAAGAATGTCAACGCCCTGAGATCAGGGACATATCTATGACAATCAGGTTTTCAAAATCTTTTGCATCATATAGGATTTAAAAGACGACTAGAAAATACTTTATTGTTTGCAAAACCACCAGGCTAACCTTACCCAAAACTTCTGTAAAAAGTCAACAGAATAATAGATTGAGTCACAAGGGCCTAAATGTATATAACAAAATCCATGGCAGACCAGCTTTGCTACTTACTTAGCCAATTTTTGAAGCTTTGATTAGTTTTCAATTTTTAATAGATAGTCCTATGAATACCTTATCTAAAATGTGTACATACATATGTGATTTGTATATCAGTTATACTCCAGTAAAGGTGTTAGAAATGGCCATATTACTGACACTCCAAAAAATACATTTAAATGGGAAAAAAATGAATCTATTAAAAACCCTCTTAGGAGCCTGTCCTTATCTGCGCAGATCCCAGCCCTGCCATCTAACTGATAGCCACTGTTAAGTGTTTGGTCTGATTTCTTTCAGAGATTTTTTTAAGCGAATATAGAGTAAGTCACAAATATATGTTATTTTCCTTCTCTTTTATTCAAATGGTTACACAGTATATATACTGGTTTCACATCTTGCTTTTTTTCTTGATTACAATACTCCAATTTGATTTTTTTCACATTTAATTAGGAAGTGAAGCAATCTGTATATCCATGGGTCTTGCATATATACCCATTTGGAAATTTAAATAACCTTAGAAAGGGAACTCTCTCCTTCTCCTAGAATTACATGTGTTCAATCAGCTACTTACCCAGGTACCTAAAAGCTAAAGAGTACTACATAATAGTGTGCTCAAACTGTCAGCAAGTATTTTGTGGCATCATGGTAAGTGAGTGGCCTCCATAACCATTCTGTCTTAAAAGAAAGCTAACATGAGACAGTGTATATCCATGGCATTATAGAAATTCTCTCTCAAGGCCACCCAAAAGTTAGTAAAGTGGTATCTATGATATTAAGGACTAGTAAAGTGCTAACCTGGCATGGGCAAGGCCCTGGGTTCCAGCAGAGAGAGACGGATTCTCAAGGGAAGGAAAAGGATCTATGACTATGGGGTGCTTCAAAGCCCTATTCTGAGAGGAGAGAAATTTAGCTATTTGCCAGGCTAGAGCTCAGTTTAAATTTAGGGAGTTTATGGAAAGGATATAATTAGGTGACGTTTACTTTTATTAAACTACAAGCCAAACTAAGTTTTTCCTTCCAAAAAACTTGAACAAGAAACAAAATACACCAAAGAGTCTTTTAGTACTCCTAAACAGACTTTCAATAACAGACAAAAACTGACAAGTTCACAGGGGAAAAAAGTAGGCTATGACATGAGATCGGCAGGTACACCTTGGGCTTTTGCCATCTTAATTCTCCAGTAATCGAAGCAACTTTCCCTCAGACACTGTGGGTTAACGGCAGACTAACAGAGCTGGGCAGTAGCTCAATGGCACAACACCTGCCTAGCATGTGCTGGGTTCAATCCCCAGCACCACCAAAGAAAAACAATACAAACAAACAAAAACTGATAAAAATTCAGAGGTCTACTATCTAGTAGATACATTCAATCAAAACAAAACAACTAACCTCGCCAAAACAGATATGAACACAACGTGTTTTGTCAATGTCTTGACCATATTTTCTTACCCAAAACTTGAGGACATGTATTCTGACAAGAACAACAAGATGGCAATCATGAAACAGACTGCCTGACAGCACAATGGAACCCAGCCTCCCCTGACTTACACCCAGTATGTGGGAAGCACCAGTGTTTACACAGATCAAGGGCTTGTGGATGAAGGCTGGAACAGACCTGTGAGAAGCACACCATCCTCAGTACTGGCTCCCCGAGAGCTCATTTTCCCTTGTAGCACTGCTTCCTGTTCTTGTGTTTACCCAGTTCACTTACCAGCTTCAGCTTCCTCTTTGCTGATCACCTGAGCTCTGCTCACTTCCCACCCTACCTTCCTCTTTCCCTCTACCCCATGTGTCTACTCTGGACAAACTCCTCCTACACCCAACACTTTCTTACTCCTCCACAGTCGGTCTTTCCTCCTAGCACCATGCAGGGAAACGAAGGGCCCTACCCACCAGGGGAGGGGCCTGGGTATGGAGGGAATGGAAATGGAAGGATCCCTGGATGGAGTCACTGAGCAAGAGGAAACATGGCCAGGGACTGGTTTAATCTGAGAGTGAGGAGAAAGTGTTTCAGAGGGATGTTTATAATAAAGCTAGGCTAGAGACAGAAGAGAGATTCGGAACAAGCTAGAGCCAGATGGAGGCTAATTTGAGCATCCTGGTTTCCTCAAGCACCTGCCAGACCTATTTTAACTCAATTAAACAAGTAGCTATCAGGCACCTAACATGTGCTAGGTACTGCTGTGAAAATACAGCAGTAAATGATAATTAGTCATTATAAGTTATAATTATAAATGTATCGCCCCATTATAAGTTAAGTAGGCAAAAAATTCTTGCCCTCCTATAACTTGTAATTTAGTAATAGGGTACTGTATTAGTCAGCTTTCCATCGCTATAACAAAATATCTGAGAAAACTGACTTATAAAAAACTATGTTTAGGCTCAAAGTTTTGGAGGTTCCAGCCCAAGTTTGAGCAGACCCACTGCTTTGGGTGCCTATTTTGGGCATGTCAGATGACAGGAGTGTGTGCTTATATCACAAACCTGGGAACAAAGAAGAGAAAGGAAGACACTTGAGTCCACAATCCACCCTGAGAACAGGCCTCCAATGACCTAAAATCTCCCACTAGATTCCACATCCTAAAGGTTCCAGCACCTCCCAAAAGCACCCATCCCGGGGGCCAAGCTTTAACACATAACTTTTGGGGGACATTAAAAATCAAAATATAGCAAATACATGTAATAAACAACAAGAACATTTGTACGGTAGCGCTAAGTACTTTGGAAAGAAAAACAGCAGGAAAAAGGGATGTTTGGGGGTGTAGTCAGAGAAGCTCTTGCTCTGATGGCATCAGTGAAGTAAAGATCACAAGAGGTAAGAAAACAAGCTACAAGGATGTCTGGAAGACAGCAGCTTTATATCAAAGGATGAGACCAATGAATATATGGCCAAGATGATGCTGAGTTCGGCAATAAAAGATGTGGCAAACATTCAGTCTTTCTTCAGAACTATGGTTATATTGATTAGAAATGATGACTTTCCAAGCAACGAACTTTATCTTCAATATGAAACACACACACACACACAATACTCCAGTTTCTTCCTTTAACACTGCAGAAGAAGCAGCTGTGGTTCCTATATTACTGAAATGTGTTGGCCAAGAAATGAATAGTACAATAAGAAATATTACAATTAAAGTTAATGTTAATTCAGTACAATACTTCCAATCCCACTGGTGTGCATATCTAACAGGAAAGTCTTGATTTTGCATTATGGAATGTAGTAAAATATAAAGACATGTTAAGCAATACATATGCTTGAAAAAAATCTTATATTACAAGGAAGTAAAGAACTTTCATATTAAAATAAAGAGAAATTCTTTCAAGGTGGTAGAGGATGGATCAAATACTTAACACAACAGCTTTCTAAATTAGGTTACTGCATTTCAAAGATTAGTAATAGTAATGAAAGTTTATAATCTTTATTTGTATAGACCACAGCCCATCTCGCCCCCAGAACAAAATTTCACTACATGAAAGATATACTGTATTTTCCCGACACAAAGCTAAATTACCAATGGTCCTAAAACCAGGATCAACATCTGGATAATCTGAGCATAGTCGAATGAGAGAGAGGTTACAATTTAATTTTTCCAAAGAGGACCAGAGGCTGTAGGAGCAAGCGATGGAATGCAATTAAAAATCGCCAGCACCAAACCTCCCACTCATCTTCGCTAGAGCTCAACTTTATAGTAGTAACATTCCAAAAGTTTAGCTACTTAAAATCTCCTGAAACAAGGAAAACTAGAACACAGAACTGTATTCTTTTTTTTTTTTTCTTTTTGGTGGTACTGGGCTTTGAGCTCAGGGCCTTCACCTTGAGCCATTCCACCAGCCCCTATTTTTGGTGATGGATTTTTTTTTTTCCCCCTGAGATAGGGTCTCGTGAACTATTCGCCTGGGCTGGCTTTGAACCTCGATCCTCCTGATCTCTGCCTCCTGAGTAGCTAGGATTGCAGGTATGAGCCACCTGCGCCCAGCAGAACTATATTCTTTTGAAGATAATTTCAAACTGGCTTAGGAGGATAGTTTCAAAATGACTTACAAGCAACTTCTCCACTCTTCATTGTAAACCCACCTAAAAAATACTGGAAAGGCCTGCGTATGAGAAAGGGATCAGTCAAGTAACTTACAAATTATGATAAACTTACAAAATGGTATCGTGCAACATTAAAAAATGAGTGCCTATTAATTTCTTAAAAGTACACTTTTTGCAAAGATGGTTACTATATACAAAGAATAAAATCAAGTCACAGAACAGTTATGTAAAGTAGAACCTCAAACACCTACATATGTGCAAACACATAAAAACAGGATATGCAATGACAAAAAATTCCTTTAGATAACAACAACATTTGAAGGATGTGAAAATTAAATGTGATTCATTTTTTGTGCTGGGGATTGAACGAAGCCTTGTGTATGCTGAGCACCCTTTCTACCACTGAGCTCCATTCCCACCCCCCCACTCCCCAAATAAAGGTTAAACCACACACTTGGGACTAGAAACCTGGAATTTAAAAATAAGTCAGTTGGGGATAACCTTTAATAAAAAAAAAAAGTTTTGTCTATATCCAAAGGATTTCCAGCTAATTTTTTGGCTACCTAATATAGTCGTAGTCCTCTTAAAATGTGTCTCAGTTGGCAGTTTCTGATATAAACTTGCTTAAAGCATCACAAATGTACAGAGTATGACCTTCATTCCTCAGCAGAAAATTACCAATGCCTGTAACTGTACAGAGCAGCTTACATCACTCATCCCAGCTAAGTAGACATGCACAACAAGGCTTGAACACATTCCAGGCGTGACCTTCAAGCCCAGACCACACCTGCTTCCAAGGCCCTGGGGCTAAAAATAACTCTGGGCCTCAAAAATGGGATGGCAGCCAGGCCCAGGGGTAGCTGAGGCCCCTTGCTCAGCTCCACTAACAGTCAAAGCAGCAGCGACAAAACTTTACCATCCCCAAACTCCACCACGGGCTTCTTTTTTCCAGTCTCTTTGTGACAAGAACCTACAACCCAGACCACTCAGTTTCTTTGCTTCTTGGGACCAGAACTAATCCTAGGAATTTAGGGGGGAAATGAGGTTTTATGGTGTATTATTTTTAAAGAAAAAACAAATCATGGACTAGGATTCAGGAGACCTTGTTCCTAATTCCAGCTCCTCTACCAAAATGCTCCAGGACATATACACATGTCACCTGACATCGCATGCCTGTTTCACAACTTGTAACATGAGGAACTGGGTGCTTACCAACAGCTAGGGATCCCTGCCCTGAGAACAGAAAGATTCACACTTGGGGGATCACAGGACATGGAAAGGCCATAACAGAGAGACATCCTTGAGGCTCGTGTTAAAGTCAGTGTTCATGTCCTACAAAACTTCCAGATCACTCCTTTTGATGACCGGGGGTTTTCAGGCTTGCTCTGAAACTACTTCCACTTCTCTGGAGGTCCATAGTGTGCGGGAGCCTCCTCTGGAGCCCGTTACCCTTCCAGGCAAGGGAAAAGACAGGGAGGCCAGGTGAGGAAGGTGGGCAGCCACAGCACCACTCTTTGTTCATTCCCAGATCCTGGGCTGTGCCAGTCAAATCACAGCATCTGACTTCATCCCCTGCCCAGGGGGCCCTGGGAGGTAATGGAATTAGGAAGCTGTGCCACTAGGCAAAGTACCACAGGAGACGGGACCAGGCCTGGAAGAAGACTCACAGCACCACGGGAGAACAGACCAAGGCTGGCAGAGGATGCAATGGAATGGAGGGCTGTCCTCAGCCTTGGTTTGTCTACCTTTCCCTATGATGTGGCCCCATCACATGATCTTGCTGAGTTTTTGGTACCTTCCTTTGTTCGCAGAAACTCTGCTCTCTCCCCATCATCTCCTCCCCACTCCTCCTTATGCACCTCTTGATTACTTTCTTCACCACTACAACCAAGTTCCTCTGTTCTAAGTTAAGCACTCACCGCTAATTCATTTTGTGGTTTTGGGGGGCAATGCCAAGGTCCTTACTGTATTGCTGTTATAACAAGTAGCACAGCTAGTTCCAGTTTTAAGACAGTCCCCCATGGTTCCAGGGTTCTGTCAACCTTTGAAATCTTTGTTACTATTTTTTTTAAAAAAGTGTTACTTTGGAGAAGAGAGGTGAAATTTTTCCAATGTGGCATTTCACCCACAGTTGGCTAGACTGAGTAACAGTTATTAAATTAGCTCTTAACCCCGACAAGGTAGATACTAAAGGTCACCCCTCTACCTGATCCACAGAGGACGGCATAAATCCTCAGGGTTTTTACACTAGCTTATTAGGAAAACTAACAAGATATGAACTGCTTTATAATCTAGTGTAACATTTGTAAAGCAGAGCATCACCTTATCAAGTGTGTGCCTAGCACCTGTGCCAGCAGCTCAGCCCTAGGCCCTGCCTGCCTCCTCCCCCGCCATCCTCGTGGGGCACCTGGGTCTCCCTTCACAATGCAACCTGGCCCAGGACTTTAGAGGGGAACAAAAAGGCAAAGCGTAAACGTAAGTCATTACAAGCCTCACAGCTCACTCCCAGTAACTCTACCAGCTCATTTTAAAAAAAGAATTTCCCACACAATCTGAATGGCAAACAAAATAATAGGTTCTATCCCACAAAAACAAATGCCAATAGGTCCAAACTTAAGGAAAAAAAAAAAGGATTTCACCACTTTACAATGGAATCCTGAGAGGATGGTGTTTCTGTTTGCTATTTTTTTCTTTTTCAAGAAGTCATTCTGTCATCTTTGCCCTTTATGAATGCTAGGGGTGACGTCAGGCAGGTGCAGGCATGCCACATGCAGTAGTGAACACATTCCAAGTTCCAATTTCCCACTGAAAAATACCAATGTCTACACTGGCTTAAGTTAAATTAATTCTAAATCCGTGCAGGGCACTGTGGGAAAAATACGAGAGACAGCAAGTCTCTGATTAGTTGGAACAAATATAAAGATAAAATGCTAGCCGGATGGACAGGAAGTCAAAAAGAAAGACTTCCTGGAAATTGAAAATCTTGGAGAGTTTTGAGGAAAAACAGGAATTCCAGATGGAGCACTGAAGGAGTAAAGGTGGAGGGAGGGACAGGCAGGTGGTATGAGGTTTCT